GTATAATAACTCTTAAATATTTATTCATTACTCATTACACTTTATGATCTTTATTGATCTCTCTTATTCCATACATTTCAAACTTGAATTAATTACTGTCAGTATCAATATGATTTGCTTACTTGTAAAGTAAACGAGGTTCATTTTTATATTAATTTATTTTACTTCTTGTCATATTTTTGAGTCCTGCTTTTTATTGTTAGAATACTTCACAAGGTCAATGCTAAGAACAGCTGATAGTGTCAATATTATATACACGATGCTCAAACATTCACGTCGAAGTTGGGAGCTGGACTGGCAAGCGCACAAAATACACCATGCGTTCAACAACTGATCTTAAAATCATATACGAAAAATAATTTTCTTAGCAATATTTCTTTCATTAAACTGTGTATATTTCTTAGGATTTGGTTCGAAATATCGCCACGTGTTCCAACGTTTTCAATTTCTCGTATATAGTTTCTACGTTCTCACTTATCTAGAACGCCGATACAAAGAACAAAGATAATTTGCAAATATTGCAACACTATTTTTATGTAAATAAAATATTTCGGGATTAGGAATATCAAAATCTCCAAGAATTTTGTGTCTGTAAGAAAGTTCTCATCTCTTGTAGTTATGTATTAGTTTTCTGGAAGAAAAAGGATGAAGAGGTACATAACATACAAGTATTGAAGATGTTAAAGGATGGACAAATGTTCCCGTTAGATGTCACTGGCAAGTTTTAATCACGTGTTCGCATGCGCGATTAAACAATTGTGTATATACATATATACAAGTTGTATTGTACGTGTGCTTACATGTAAACCGACTTTCAGAAATGTACACAATTCTACAGAAGCATACGATCGTACGCATTAAAAATTGGTTATGAACATACGGAAAAACCTTTGAATTTCGCATTCGCTATTCTGTGATTTCAGATAAGATGATATGATGATACCAGTACCTCTCCGTGTCGTGACTTATAAGTAAAAGTGTCGATATCCTAATATCTTCTGTATCTTATACATATTTTTAACTTGATTAATTTTAAAAATTACTGCTAAATTTAAAAAGTGTAAATAAATGTACATATGTGTGCCTTTAAAAGTTGTTCATAATGCCGGAACGAATTGAAATTGGTATATAAAACAATGTTACGATTGTA